GATTGTAGCACAAAAGAAGGAAGATGCAAATAAATACTAGTTATGTGTGAACTTTAAAATATTTCCTGGTTAAAGTTTCAGTTTCCTGGTGTGAGAGCGCGGGGGCGGCGGGGCGGCGGAGCGCCGGGGGTGCGGGGTGGCCGAGCAACGGGGCTGCGGGGCTGCGGGGCTGCGGGCGGCGATGCTAAGGGGCTGCACCTCACGACTTCCTCAATTATTACTTTGGTAGTTATTCTTACAAGTATTATTATATTTTACATGTTTTTGTTTAACATTGTTTTGTTCTGATAAATTTGAAAATGTTCGTGACTGAACCGGGCAAATACACGGTCTTCTGCATGTACTACAATGATAATATGGAGTCAAAGAGATAATATGTTAAGAGAAAATTGAGCTATGGTTCAATAAAATAAATCGCGTATATATATTTAATACGCTCACACATAAGCAGACACCTTGCTACTACTATTACTTGTGATCGGCTTATATTTGCATCTCCCCAGTGCATGTAGGGTCGCAGTGATAAGAGCACTGTTGCGCGATGACGTGTGACGTGAGACGCGTGACGTGCGACGTGACGCCGCGCGAAGCACGTGCCGTCGTCACCGTGAGAGAAGCGCGCTGTAGCTATGGTCGCCCCCCCCCCCTCCCCCCTCTGTCGCGCTCCTTTTGCTCAGAATAAACTTTTAAAAATGATAGCGCGTAATAAATTGCATCGGCCGCACGGCACGATACTTGCATCTTTCATCTTTTCCTCGCTTCTCGAGTGTGTGTAATGTCGCCGAGCGTTTTCTCGTATAAAACGACCGCTTTAGCCGGCGCCCCGTAGACGCTTGCCTCCGTCCCGCCGCCTTCACAGCCGGAGGACCAAGTTGTAGTGGTAATGGCTCGTACATATTTCTGCAATTGATTAGGCGGGGGCGGTTGCTATGGCGACGGGCTGCACCGAGCCCCCTGCCCGCATCCCCTGCTCCGTATGGCACCGCCCGCCGCCCGCCGCTCGCCGGCCGCCGTTTCTCGCGCACCCGTAGCAAAACGTTTATGACGCGAAAGCGGCGAGAAGTCAACTGCTCGCAACATTTGTATTATAGCATAATTATATCGCGACAACTTCAAATAAATCAAACGATAAATATATTATAAATGCATTTCGAATACTTGAACGACTTTATGAACGTTAAATTGGAACTCTGTCATTTATTAAATTGATTAGATACATACACAAGTTTTCGCGCAATGTCGGTCTGTATGGTTCTACTGCGGAACACATGTTTGTTGTTAGTCACATACATGTTACAGCTACAGAAACAATATTATATTAGAATCCAGCTGACAGCTAACAGCTCGCTGCGAGAGGAACGCAATAAACAGCTCCGACAGTAGGGGACGGCACGGGTACACTTACACTTGCCAGATTTCGTTAATTGGCTGCGAGTTTAATTCCGCCACCGATTGTCCTCTAAAATAGGAAGGGGGAAGACTCCAGTTTCAAGTTAATTTCCTCGGCGGCTTTCCTCTGAGCTAATCCGTGCACCTAATTATCACCGCCGCCTCCCGCTCGCCCCCCGGCCGCCTTCCCCCGGCCTCCGCGCCCGTATCCAACGTAAATTGAATCGCTGTAACCGACCGATATGGGATTAGTTAGTATAAATTAGAAGAAGGTACCTGGCCGTTAAATTGAATTAAGTAATTCATTTGATCCTACAAAGTGTTACCTGTTGTTCCTCTTAGCTGCAGAAAGCACGCCGTCTTGCTGTCATTCATTTAAAATACATACCAAATTATCGTTTTCATTTTTGCCCTTCAATATGTTCAATATAATAACTGACAGTGGCCACGTCTCTCTCTCGTCTCTGAGAGTGCAGCCCTCGCTGCTGATTGAAGTGTATCCTACGTAGGTTGCCAGTACCACGTCAATGTGGCAATCTGTCGTTTGTGCCATTTCTCTATCTGAATATTTTCGCGGCGGAAGTGGAGAGCGGAGGGCAGGGGGCACAGTGACCGGACCTACCGTAACGAGGAGCCAAGTGTCGCAAGAGGCTTAATTACTGCCGGCGGGCGGGGGGTGCGTGGGGGTGCGCGGTGCCGGGCGGGAGGGCGCAGGGCGGCGGGTGGAGGGCCGCGCGGCTGCAGCCGTATGCTCGTTACGTAGAATTGGACATTGTCCTCGGAACTCGGTTCGTTTCGCTTTGTTGAAGAATCTCGACATGTTTGAGATGCGCCGACCGCCAACTTGTTACGATCATATTCTCGCCCACTTTGTACTTGCTTACACCCAGATGTTTACATTGTTACCTTTGAAAGTATTTATCATTTACACAGACTTTATTTATCTGTCACAATATGATGGCACATGCATGCAATAAGTTAGCGATCGGGCGCATGTATAAAATGCAAACATATTACAATGTACAATTTGAGTTAATATTGCGAATAAGTAAAGCTGCAAAACTCTCCCCCCCCCCCCCC